CATACTATCTATGCCACCAACAACAATATCTCCCATTGTTTGGGTAACACAATGATTTTCATTTTAAGATACCTTAGATGACATTCATTACTCAGAGTATGCAGTTCCAGACCAGGCCTGTAGCTAAGTTTTACTATCTTTCTTCAGTCTTTCTATATACCTATTTCAAAACATTTGTGCTTTGCCTTCACAGCCCCTGTTTACCTCACCTTTAAACTAGTGAAGAGCAGAGTGTTTCTTCTTTCTCAGAAAACATACTTTTAAAGGACATCTCTTATTGTATAGCAACTGAGAACAAAAACAAGTTCAATTGCTGTTTGGCATCAGAAGTCAACATGGCAAAATTTTCACATGATAAACCCATCTTGCCAAGAAAATTGAGAATGACATTCAGATTAAGTCACAGTGCATTAAATATGAAGAAGAGGGGGAAGGGGGAGATCAGCTTATTATTTTTTTATGTTTCTATACTTCATTATCAATATCTTTCCTCCATGCTTTTAATCTCTCATCAGGCTGCTGCTAACCAATCTCCAATGGGACCTATTGAGAAGTCATTAGGTTAGAAATGCAAGTTAGTTCATTTGGAGTTTTTTATTAGCAATTATATAAAATCATCCCAGGACCGTGTTTTCAGTCCTACAGCATGTGCCTTATTAGCATGATAATGATATATATCTCTTTGCAGCAACCAGTGAAGTTTTATTCTCAAACACACTGACATTTAAAAAGAGTATTTTGACAATCTGTCAGATCTTGCTTTGGAACATAATAGCTTTATTTTTAGTTTTATAGATATTTATGACTTGTAAAAAACATAATTTACAAGTGATTTACCCTCACTGTCATAATCATCTGCAATTTCCTCTTCGAGTCATTTGGTATTGGGTCATACTCCTCATTTCTCATGTTTTCTGGCTGCAGAACATAGCCAGTGCGTCCATTGAGTGAAAACAAGGCATGGTTCAGCTGCATGTATTTATCTAGGGAGAGAGTTAAACAGTCATAAAAGAAGATTCCTCATTGGAATAAAGATAAGGAAATACCAGAACAATGGCTCCTCTCTGCAAATCTTCCTGGTCACCACTTTATCAGAAAGAGCTGGGAAAGGCAGATGGAAGACTTGATTCCTTCAGTAACTGAAACTGACTGGCCACTTCTCACTCATTTTAATCCCAAAAAAAACATTTCCATCCACGATTGGTTTCCTATCAATGTGTCATAAGATAGATGGAGCTCACCAGGAAGTGGAGTACAGCTCTCCCTGTGGCTGAACACCTATTCATCCACCTGTAAGTGTCTCTGCTTCCTTGTCACAAAGACAGCAAGGTGAAATAAGTCTCCTCAAGTTTGGGACTGTTAAGCTCAGAGACAGAGCTTTGGAGACATGTTTTGGGGGCCCAACTCTTTAAGGCCACCCACATATTCAAAAGCAAACTTCATTTCTTGCACATCCCTTCCTGCAGGGGAGTACAAATACACAGGACAGTGACTAGAGTGGCAGAAGGGACTGAAAGGGGCTCATTTATGGTGAAATGGAAGATGGATTAGATCCTTTTGCAAAGGGAGTATTACCTGGAGTTTGGAAGTTAAGAGCCACCATCTGGGCACCACAAAGCCAGAGGCGAAAAGGGTCATAGTTGGATGAGTCGACCCTCTGTCCTTTAGGATAGACACGTGTCAGTCCCTTCAGATTGTATTTCAACAACTCAACTGGCTTCTGCTTCACAATGCTCTCTGCCTTGGTTTCCACAAAAGAACGGATTTCTCTGAAATCAGGATTTTCTACACAGGGTTGGGGGGAAGAAGAGTGGTTACCAAAGGAAGAAAGAAGGTGACATTTACACTGTATTTCTACCAATACTTTGTTTTGCTTTGTCCTTTAATGCAATAATTGGCACAATTTTCATGCAGACATGGCAAATTGGTTGAAAATCAAGTCTGAAAGATAAAATTGCCTGCCTGCCACATGCTTTGCAGCAGGGCAGATAAGAGCCTATAGTCATGTCCTCATCTCATCATTGCTAATAATGTACTTCTGATCACTATAACACACATTAAAATGAGACATCTTTTCCTGAGTTTACATGGGGAGAAGAAAGGGTGAGCCAGGGTTAGCCAATGCCTCAAACAATGACTGTAATTACAATGTCTTAACCACAGTGACAGCTTATTAAAAACATTTGCAAAGAAACTCAAAGAAAAGGGCACATTTGCTGGCTTCTCCAGCAGCAATGACAAAAAAATGGAATAAAATGTATTTCAGTGTCAGAACCCACACGTGCACTTACACACATTCCAGTTCTCATTTATATTATGAAGCCATACACATTCCAACAGCTTGGACCTGGCAAACAGGTTCCTACAGTAAAATGATATCATGCACAGTAAACTCATTTTTGAAGGTTTATAAATAAATCCTAAGTGTTCAGCCAGAGTTTTTAATCTCAAAAAAACCCAACAGACATGTAACTAGTGAGCCTCCCCATGAAAGACACCTATGAGAGGGTGTCGTTAGTAACTAGTTGCAAATTTGTGAGCTTTTGTGTGACAGATGAAAAGCATCAAGTGCCCTAGTGCACAATTTCCCTAGTGTACAATTTCAAAGTGCCACTGAAAACTGCATGGGCGAGGCACAACTTTATTTTCCAGTAGGACAGATTTTATCTTCAGTTCTAAAAGCTCAACTAACATCTGTAAAGACAGAAGAAAGGGTGAAATTAAGAGGCAATATTAAAGGCAATACCTAAATTGTCCTTGGTTTTGCTTGTTGGCTTGCAGTAGATTACCAGATCAGATAATTCAATAGCAATTAATTGATTCTTTTCCCAGTATTTCCTCCTGTTCTCCTGTAAAACAAAGTTTTATATGACAGACACATTGAGCATTATGGGACAGTAACTCCAGGGTGTGCTTTAATGAAATGGTCAACTTAATGGATTCTTTGTTGCCCAGATTCCTATCTGATACTTCAGACACTTGCATAGATGTACTTTCAGACCCAATTCAGAGAACAGGCTGTATCAAGTGTCTTGGGGGTTTAGCTGGGAATGTGGGGTGTGTTGGGGGAGATGTTGTTCGGTTGGCATTTTTAAGCAAGACTTCCAGTGCTTCCCTTATCAGTTCGGCTCAGAATCTTGGCAACAATTGCTTTTCTTGTAATGTGGCTCTACTCAACTCAATTTTAGCTACATTCTTAACTATGTATCACATAAAAATTCAAATATATGCAGAAAAAATTGCAAAGAGTAGTGAAGTGTCTCTGTATTTATTCACAAGCCTGAGTAGAACTTAAGTCTTGTTAGTATCTCCCAAAGAGCAAAATTCAAACCCTATGGGCATCAGTCCTGTAGATTTCTGTTTGTGCACCAAACCAATAATGTTCTATATGGGAAATCATGTGCAATCTTATTGATATCACCAGTATTAAATCCACTAACTACTTCCAAGTCTGCAAACACCTGCTATGTAGAAGCTGCAATCAGAGTTTGGGAACTACTGAAAGCAGCAAGACTTGTCCTGAGTGGAGACATTTGGGCTGGAGGCTTTTCACACAAGGAGCAACTACAGGACAAAACATGTTAGAAGAGCTCCATACTGAACAGTGATCACCTTTGGCACAAGAGATCATGAAGCAGCAGCAATTATGAAGCATTCCAAAAGAATTCCCTCAACAAGACAAACAAAAGAGGAATGAAAAGCAGAACTAGGGAGACACAGATTTCCAGAATGTTTCACTGAAAAAGACATTATACATTTAAGTGAGAGAAAAAACAGAGAGGAATAAGGTGTGTAGACTTGGAAATAACCTTGGGAAAAAAACATACAAACCTCACTGCACTTAGTAATCCACCACAATTTCCCAAACATTGATCAACAGTAATCAGACCTCCAAACAGCAAAAGATCACTTCTAGATGGAACAGGCTCATCTCTAGACATAGTCCTCTACTGATAACCAAGGAGGTTATCAATGAACAGCCACTCCTAGGAGCATGGCAAGTGTCAGTATTAAGCAGAGATGACAAGATACATGAAGCTTAGCTTTATTTTTTGTATATAATGGACACTGTCCAAAAAAGAACTCATAAAAAAAACTCTGTATCACATCATAGCATAGTGAGTTAACATAGTGAGTATTTTTCTTCCCCAGAATTCAGCCTGTTAACTGTACTGGCAACAAGGGCCTTTCCTCATCTTTATCCCCTCCCCATGCAGCAGTCTATCATGTGAACTTTCTAGAGGCCACGCTGTGAGAAAAGCCTCCCGACTGACAGAAATGAGTTTTAAAGCATCTTTGAACACAGAGTGGTTAATACTTCTCCAACTGCACAGAGAGAGAAAAAGCTGCCAAGCTCCTGAAGAGCCATTGTTGTACCATAAAAAACATTCCATTTAGAGACACTTCATCTAGGTCGTGTTTCTCTTTTTCTCATTTTTCTTTCTAAATGAAAGCCTGGCACAAGAACCATGTCTCTCCTCCCCCAGCAACAGGTCAACAGCTCCTGTTGCTTCTTGCCTTACTGAATTTGCAGTCCTCTGCTTGAGACATCAACTTCCCTGGTATAAATAGGATTAGGACAACTCTCAGAGCACTACCACTCCCTACAACAGATAAACAGCATGAGCCAACATGATACTAAAATACGTTTTCCATCAGTCATATCATCCACTTAACAATAAAAAGTGAATAAAAGCAACAGAGAAAAGAATATACTTAAGCACAGCCATTGTAAGGACTTCTTGGCCATGTCAAAGAGTTCTTAAATACTAGAAAATATGACAGGAAGGTAAACTAGGACATCAGCAAAAGCAAGTCCTGAAGAATGTCTTTAAGTGGCAATAGAGGGACATAGAAGCTAAACTGAGGCAGAATCTTGGAATCCGTAGGTAAGGGTTTGGAAATAGTGCTATTGAAGAACTGGGAAATCCAGAACGTGCCTATTAGTTACAAATAAATAAACAATTTGCTATCAGTGCTATTGCATTCACTGGAAAGAAGAGTTAGTAAAGAGGATTAAGAAGAGTTTGGGGAACAGCAGCTCAGATTTCACACATACTCACTAGTGGATTCACAACTCTGAACAGAACAGTTTGATATGTGAGTTTCTGCTGCTTAACACTAGGATGAACCAGTGTAACCAGATGTAAAATTGTAATGGTATCTACTTTGTCCTGCTAAGCACACCTCACTGAGGTGAGGGTACAACACAGATATGACTCTGCTGGAAAACTCCTGTTAACATAAATTTACATAAAATGTTAATTCACATACCATTCCCCAAGGATTTTATGGAACAAGATTCACAGCATCACTAAGGTACAGACAGCAGCAACATCCATGAGAGTGAAGGACCATGTGCTAGCAATGTGTAGCAGTGTAGGGCAGCTAAAGACAAACCCTATTGTAAGTTTAGAACAGTACATTATAAAAAAAAATAAAAATTTTAGCAATACCTCTTCTGCAGTTTTCCAAGTGATTTCACGGATACTTTGGTACCATTCAAAGAGTTCTTCTACTTTATCAGTTGCAAACTCAACACACGGATCTTCTGGATTCTTCGGTTCCAGAATGAAGACAAAAGGCTTTTTGTGTTTCCCTTGTGCCATTTTCACTGTTAGGCAATACCATAGCAATAAATTTATACTGAAATCCAACAGTTCTTTTTCTAAGCTGTCATTGTTGATTTATTGCAACAGTTAGTATTATAAAGTTTCAACATGTTAATTGTATTGGTTATATTAATACAAGTTGGGGTTTGAGGGTTTGAGGGAGTTTTTTCAGTCTTTCCTGCTAAACATAAAAGAATCTACTCAACACAGAAAGCTCAGGAGTACACGAGGAAGCATCAGGAAATACTTACCAACATTGTATGTATTGAGCACCAGAATGCCACGACACAGAGAGCCTAATGGATTGTCCTCAATAATCTGAAAAACATGAGTTCAATCTGACCCGAAATCTCCTCTTGAGTGAATATGCACAGGACATTAATAAATAATAAACATGCACCATTAAATCTAACCTCAGTTTCACTGAAAGCATGACCACCATAACATTTAAAAGCCTGTGACAAAAAGCCTCTTTCTGTATCAAAAACTGCTTGTTTGGATAAACGTGATATTCTCTTTGCTGAGAGTCATCAAAATGAGGAGTGCAGCTTCTCTCCTGGCATAAACACTTAATAATGGAGAGTAACATGGCTATTAAGATGTGTTTTGACACACAGTTTTTGTATTTGCAAACATTAAGTAGCAATTATAAGGTAAACAAGTTAAAAGTTTCAGGCATGTTATTGCTTAGCTAAACGATCTGAAAATTCTAAACTGGTATGATTTTTTTATTAGCAGGAAATGATCAGAACCTCCTAAAACCTCTCCAATTCAGCCATCATAGAGTATCCTGAGTTGAAAGGGACTCACACAGATCTATGTCCTTAAATAGTTTTCCATGAGGGATGCCCTGACAAAAACATTCAGCAGCAGAGAACAATGAAGAGTGCACTCATGTCTCTATTCTGTGATCCCTCACACACAGCATGCAGAGTTATGATATTATAAACCAGAATTCCACTTCCAGTAGGTAGCCATGGAAATGTAGCAGACAAACCCTAACCCTCACCTGGCTTTCAAGCTCAGCAGAGTTATCAGATGACAGGTCTTCAACATAATTAGATGGAAAATAATGTTGGACTTTTTCTCCATAATCCCCCTTCCACCTGAATTGAAACAGAAACGCAGAGAGAGAAAAAAAAAAGTTTAAGAGCTTCAACAGGCTATTAATGAAGCAATAATCCCTAAGAAATTGGTCGTTAATACCCCATTCTACTTGTCTAGCTGGCTATCACCAAAATATAAATGATGAAGTAGCTGAAAGCTCTAACAAAGTGATCATTAACTGTAGTAACAGATGATTTCAGGGGGATTACAGTTACTGTAAACTGCAATTAATGACTTAAGAGGCTTTTTCCCCCTCCAGTACTAAAAATACTATTATGTGGTTGATTACCCTGTAGAAACTACAGGGAAACATTAGATTCCCAAGCTTTCCAAGCAATTTACAAGCCATCTGAAAAAGAAAAGCTTTTATGAAAGGAGACTGCACAAAGAACTAAAAAAGGTGGGTTGATTCCTGAGAAGTGCTTAGCAGAACAAGGACAGAAACAGAGAAATGATGGCAATGGCAATAGATTGTGTGACTTCCCAGAACACACTGGATACACTGGGATATGGATGTTCTGCAGACTGAGGTTATTGCTGTGGGAAAGAAAAATGGAAAAGGCTTGAAAGGAGACTTGAGGATGAGAGCTTTGTGGTGGTTTTTGTAATACACTAGCATAGAGATTTATAAGGCCACAGTTAATAAGCAGCAATCAGACAACAGGCAGTTTTTAAAACCTACTACCCAAAGCCCATTTTTCCCTTCATCTAGTAAGTCACCAGAAGTTCTCCCATGAGGAATCTTTGTCCTTACCAGCCTCCAGTTTCCTTTGTGACATTATGAATTAAAGCTCCCCGAGAGAAGCTCAATTCATCACTCCTTTTGGCTCTGTAGTCATACAAGGCTTTCACTGTACTCTGAGGCTTTAAGAGAAACAGAGCAGAGAGGTCATCTAGGGGGACAGGTCATAAAATAATCAATAATACAATCTTATAGCAAAAAAGAAAAAAAAAGAGAGGGAGGATTGGGTTATTTTGTTGTTATGAAGCTTAAAAAACAAAATACTCAAGTTCCAGAGTGACATCTATTGGTAGAAGCAAGTGATGCTCCTTTGATATTCTTCCAGTATCAGTTTGGAAATAGAGATTCTTTCTTTTTTGGGTGCTGTAACATCATTTTGATAGGAAAAGAAGAAGAAAAGAAAGATGCATTCATAAGCACTTGGAGTTTGTAGGCTTAGACGTCTACAGAACTTCCACTTCAAAACCACATCAGCTATCCTGCCGGTCATATTTCCTTCAGGAAGACAAGCAATTTTAGCAGGATGAGCAATTCCTTTGTCTTGAATTTACTACTACCCAAATTCTTCAGCAGCAATGCAAATTCATTGGCCAAAAAAAAGAACTACAGTCACAAAATTTACAAGCAGGTGATTTTTATGAGAATTTACAAGTAGGCCAGGCCCTATCAAGAATTACAGATCAATAATGTTTACTGTGCCACTTGTTTTTAAAACAGTATATATATATCTCTTAAAAGAAGACAAACTTTAATAACTCATTAATAAACCAAAGACACTGTTTTTATATAGAAAGCACATGAATAAACTCTGCACCTGTTTGTGCATTCAGGCCATGTTTGCTAATGGAACTGCAATGAGGGAACAGGCAAGTCACTGTGTACAGACACCCACAGGCACAGAAATGAGGTTTACATGTTGTACTTTCCTTTCATGAGGATGTGGCCCTCTCAAACTGAATCTTCTCACAGGTGTTTGAATCTGGGGCCATATCTGCACAAGCTGCATCACCTCCACAGACCCAACAGCAAAAAGTGCCCAAATTCCCAGTATGGATGAACCAATACAGGATTTGCACACAAGAAAAGGTGTGAGTACAAATTTCAAGGAGAGGCTAGAGAAAAGCCACACCCTTTAAATTTCTGCTGTCCAGTCCCCCCCAGATGAAGCAGCCTGATGCTTTCAATTCTCCTTTTCATTGCTGCTAACAGGAAACCAACAAGTCTCATAATTGTCAGAAGTCTACAGTAAGTGTGAGTATCTCTCTTTAAGCATACCACTGTAGGGGTGATTTCATTGGGTTCCACATACATCTTGACTTCGTAGAGGGAATTAATATCTTTTTCCTAAATGCAAGAAGGAAAAAAAATTATGAAGTTTCAGGAATCAAAAATTAGAAAAGTACTTAATAGAACATTAGTTCTGAAACCATCTTTTTGACAATACATAGGCAATCAAAAGAGGGGGGAAGCCAGACACCTATGTTTTGCTCATTTCCGTAGTTGAACAGAGCTGATGATGAGTTTGTTATTTAATCTATGCCTCAGTTTAATGAACAGTAAAACCCAATGAAGCAGCAATAACTCACAAAGGTATTTCTTAATCAAACAGCTTTTTGATTGTGAGTACCCTTCTATGTGCAATCAGGAAAGAAATACTTACACTTATGATTTCTGTGTTACAGTACTTTAGTACCAGTATTGGCTTCACTATTAGATAAAAAAATCTAAAAAAATAAACACAGTCATATTTTTCATTTTATTCTCTCCTTGTGATTCCATTTGGGCTCAGACCTGAGACATAGAACCTTAGCTAGAGGCAACATTATAAAAAATCCTGAGGTCTAAAAATCTTTTCAGTCCCTTTCAGTCTCCCCAGAAGAAGCAAAATCCCCAGGTTTTGATTTCTTCAGACCTGCCAGACGTGGTTTCCTGCAGCTTCAAATGGATATCTATTTGAAAAAGGGAAGACAACACCTCGGGCTCTGCAAAAGCCAGTTACCTCTGCAAAGCTCTCTGTAATGAAACACATCTATCCAGGAAGAGGGCCTTCATCCTCAGCTAATTATCCAGGGTCCTAGTTTAGATCCATGGATAGAGACAAGTATCTCCTGGGGAGATTTCATCATGCTTATCCCAGAGAGGAGCCTTCAGAGGCACCTCTCACCTTTGAGCACAGAAGGCAGGACACTATCACTGAGATGGCTGAGAATGCCACTGCCCATACAGAGTAAGAGGCACAGCAGAATATTTTATTTCAGATGCTTAGCTGCCCACTCCAGCAAGAGAAGACAGGACCAGCTGCAGGCAATGTTATTATCAAACCCTCATTTTAGCAGAGCAACAATCCCTCACTACACAGAGCAGCTTTTCTAATCAAATCATGAGGAAAGCAAGAGTTGACTTGTGACCAGAGATGAAGCTTTCCTTCATATGTCCTGTTGGGGTCCTTGCGAGGGACGG